ACAGGTTCTCACTATGTAGTTCAGACTGCCCTGGAACTCACTGTGTAGCCCAGGCTGGTATCGAACTCACTGCGACCCTCCTGCCTCAGACTCCCAAGTGCTGGGATTACAGGTGTGCTCCACCACGACTGGCCAGTAAATGCATTTTTAATGACTATTAAAAATGTGCTAGCTGGGCCGGGGGATTTAGCTCAGTGGTTCCACTGCCAGCCTGTAAAGAGTTTCATCCCTGGTCTCTCTCCTGCCCCAACAGCCATAAGAATGTGCTAGCCACAAAAAAAAAAAAAAAAAAAAAAAAAAAAAAAAAAAAAGCCTAGACTGGAGATTAATAGATTATTAAGGAGACTTTGTACTTACTGTACGAAGAAAAGGGGGAGAATGTTTAGGTAAAACTACAAAATTATGAAGAGCATATAGTAATGTTGCTATATGTACTAAGCTTGTGGTCTCACAACATCAAGGAATGAAGTAGTGAACCAAAAGAGGGAACTTAAGAATTTTTATTTTAAATAAGGAAAACAGCTCCTGGACTTCTTGGAGGGGATCCAGAGGCCTCATGGCCCCTCCATCCAGAGCTGTTTATAGAGAAGCTGAGCACAGGAATTGCTCAATTGTTTAGGGGCCTCCAACCATGGGTGGCTCTGTAGATTTAAAATGCCCAATTGGAACTCAGGCTGTCTAGCCCAATTCTTAAACATGTAAAGTTTAAAGGCAGCTGGAATTTCAGAGAGGAAAAAAGCCCTGGTTATTTGTGTTTTAATTTCCTCTGAGTGGGGAGGGGCTTAGTCGGAAGTGGCTGCACTTCCCTTTAGTGGGAGCTTCCTCCCTGAGGGGATTTTTTTGGTACCAGGGATTGAACTTGGGACCTTGCCCTTTTGAGGCAGGTGGCAGAACCACTGAGCTAAATCCCCAGTCTGTCCCTGAAGAAATTTAACTAGTGGTTTTAAGTCCTAGTTCATTGTCTGTTCCTATGCTAATTATCAATATGGCTGGTTGCCCAACTCTGAGGCCCTTTAGCTGCTGCCTCACTCATAAGCTAATAAATAAGCTATTTTCTACAGTAAGACATAGAACAGGGAGTGGCAATTTTTTCCTATGAAGACCTAGAGAAGATGTCTTTTTTGGCTTTGCAACCCATTTTCAACCCAGTCTTTATAGTGTAAAAACATCATTAAATAGTAGAAATGAATGAGTATAGCTGTATTTGAATAAAACTTTATGTTGCTGAAATTTAATTTTATGTAATTTTTGTGTGTCTTAAAATTTTCTCCCTTGGATCCTCCCTAGTAATTTAAAAAAGTAAAAACTATGGTAAGCTTTCAGACCATAGTTTGTTGACCTCTGAACAACAGTGAAGTACCCTGTATTTGGTGAAGAAAAATAATTGGGAAAGAGGGTAATCCCAGGACTAGGGGAGGATGGGGCAGGAGGATCACAAGTTCAGCTCAACTTTTGCACCTTAGCAAGAACCTGTCTCAGAATTTAAAGTATGGGGGTATAGGTGGCTGGAGATGTAGCTCTGTGTGAAGTGAAGGCCCAGGGCTCAACCCCCAGTACCACTAAACAAAGCAAAACAATGCCCCCTCCAACGTAAACACAGTGCTATGATCTATTATTTTTGTGTTTACTTACTATAGAAAATAAGCCGGGCATGGTGATGCACGCCTGTAATCCCAGCACTCGGGAGGCTGAGGCAGGAGGATCGCTGGGAGTTCGAGACCAGCCTGGGCTACATAGTGAGTTCCAGGTCAGACTCAACTACATAGTGAGACCCTGTTTCAAAAAAAACCAAACCAAAACAGAAATACTTAATACAGAAAATAATAGATTTTGAGGCTGAAACACAAATTTGTTATTTTGTTGTTTGACACTTGATGTGCTAGATTTATGAATGTACTAAGGATGTAAGTGTAGAGAATAGTTTATTCAGTTAGCTTATGAATAAGACAGCCCACTACATAGATTTGGGTGACCAGTCATGTTGATAATTAAGAACTGTGAGCTAAGACTTTGGACCAAAAAAAGAACTCTCAGACAACATGGAATGCAGTCTCTCCTTAACTAAGCTCAGTTTTGAGGAATTTTTTTTTTTTTTTTTTTTGGTACCAGGGATTGAACTCTGGTCTTTGCGCTTGCAAGGCAGGCCACCAAACCGCTGAGCTAAATCCCCAGCCCTTGAGGAATTTAAATGCATTGAACTTCCTCAGGCAACCAGGAAGACAGCACACTCCATACTAAAGGGAGATGGAACTGCTCCTTACTAAACTCTGGAGTTCTGAGGAAATTATTAAAATACAAATGACTTGCTTTTTTTTCCTCCTCTAAAATCCCAGTTTCTTTTAAACCCTACATGTCAAGGAGGTGGGTTAGAAGCCTGAGTCACAGCTGGTCCTTTTAAATCCACAGAGTCACCTGTGGTAGGAGGAACACAGAACAACTTAACAATTCCTGTTCTCTGCTTATCTATAATTAGCTCTGGAACCAGGGCCCATGTGGCCACTGCAGGACCCCTCCTGGAAACCCAGAAGCTAGTCTTATAATTTCCATAAAACTCACCATACCTCCTCTTTTGGTTTGTGACTTCATTCCTCAACATTTGCAGAACCATGAGTTTGGTGCATACGGTGATATGAATATGTTCTTTAAATGAAGAAGGATATTCCTTGTTTTAAAAAGGGACTGTAGTTCAGGAAAGATGGAATAACACTGAGTCTCGATTTATACTAAGAGATTCCAGTGTAAGAATGTGGAAAAATGAATTACAGTAATGTGGTGAAAAGTAATTCTTAAAAAATAAAATACACATTTAAAAAATATTGTTTAAAGTGGCTGGGGATTTAGCTCAGTGGTGCCACCACCTGCCTTGCAAGCACAAGGTCCTGAGTTCAATCCCCAGTACCAAAAAAAAAGAAGAAGAAGAAAAAAAAAAATTTTTTTTAATTTTGTTCTTAGCTGGACATGGTGGTGCACACCTGTAATCCCAGCACTTGGAAGGCAGAGG